CAGAGGGTGCGGGGCAAGCAAGACGATGCCAAACAAGGGCTGCTCTGTGGAACTAGGCTTCAACGGCCACGTTCCTTCTGCGGAGCAAAGACCAGAGCCCAAGGCAGGAGACAAGAAGACCTGGAAGGTGGCATCAGCCACAAGTGGTGACCGAGGCCAAGGCGGGACTAGAGAAAAGAAGATGAAGAGCCGAGCCCGCCACGGTTCCTGAGCCGCATACGCTCTGAGCCCACCAGGGGGCGCCGCTCCTTCGCGGAGGGGGCCTCTGAAACCGCGCGCTCTGGCCTAGAGATCCCGGAAGAGGCGGGCAACTCTCCAGGAGACCACTTCCGGCTTCAACTCAGCCGGAGCTTGGTTTTGTGGGGACGCAATGAGAGAATTTGGGAGGGAGGGATGTCGAGGACTGGGGCGTGTTAGAGGAGTATGATGCAAAGTCTGAAGACAAGCGGTACCCCATGTGGGTGTTCATTTCGCAGTTCTAAGATCTATGCCTGAGCAGCCCCCAGTTTTTAACCGAGTGAAATACTCCGGTGGACTGTCAGGCTGACAGGAATACTTCCTGTAGATGGAGGGGTGCAGAAAGGTGAAGAAACCCTTAGGGGCTGACTACATGGCTCAAAGGGGTAAAGACCCTTGGGTGCAAACCTGACATCTGAGTTAAATCCCTGAAACCTACTTAAAGGTGGAGAGCCGGGACTGACTTCACAAAACTGTCTTTCATTATTCACCACACACATTTCTACAATAATTTATTTGTTTAAGACCAGATCTTACAATGTAGCCCCAACTACCGTGAACTCATTATGTAGGCCAGGCTAGCCTCGACCTTAGAGACATCTGCCTGCTTCTGCCTCCTAAATACTGGAACTAAAAGCAATGGACACCACGCCCAGCTGTAAAAGGTTATTCTCTATATGATGAACCGCCTGTGTTTGGAGAAAAGGCTAAGCCTTCAGGGAAGACTAAGAGGAACTCACCATTCCCGGGCCTGCTGGGGGAAGAGGAAAAAACAGCCTCTTAATGTATTTGTATACACATACCTAAACTCTCTTCTCCTGGGAGACACGGCACAATCCTGCGGGACAGGCTACATCATCCTCACATGATGGCTGCTCCCTGCCTCCCGGCCTTCCTTCTTGTCCTTAGGCTATATTTTTCATAGAAGCCAGAGAGATCTTTAAAATATTAGATTTGGGGGCGGGAGAGATTCCTCAGCAGTTTAGAGCACTTGTTGCTCTTGCAGAGAACAGTTCAGTTCCCAGCATCCAGGTTGGGCAACTCACAAATGCCAGTAACTCCAGTTCCTGGGGATCTGACACCCTCTCCTGACCTCTGAGGGCACCTGCATTCACATGCATGTGCTTACATGCAGATACGTATACATACACATAATCATTTTAAAATGTTAGAAGGAGGGGCAGGAGAGATGGCTCAGTGATTAAAAGCACTGGCTGGTCTTCACAGGCTGGTCTTCAGGAGGACTGGGGTTTGGTTGCCAGCACCCACATGGCAGTTTACAACTGTCTGTAGCACCGGTTCCAATTCCAGGGAATTCTACACCCTCTTCTGACCTTCAAATACATGCATGTAGGCAAACCCTCTTTTTTTTTTTTTTTTTTTTTTTTTTTTTTTTTTTTTTTTTTTTTGAGACAGGGTCTGACTATGTAGCTTTGGCTGTCCTGGAACTCATTTGTAGATCAGTCTGGCCTCAAACTCAGAAATCTGCCTTCCTCTGCCTCCCAAGTACTAGGATTAAAGGTGTGTGCTACGGTGCTCAAATTAGATCTTTTTTTTTTTTTCATGTGCATTGATGTTTTGCCTACATTTATGTTTGTATGAGGGTATCAGATCCTTTGGAACTGGAGTTATAGACAGTTGTGAGCTGCCATGTGGTTTCTGGGGACTGAACCCAGACCCTCTAGAAGAACAGCCAGTGGTCTTAACCTCTGAGCCATCTCTCCAGCCAGACTTAAATCTTTTATAAAAAATTAAAACTGGGACCAGAGAGATGGCTCACTGGCTGAGAGAACTTGTTCTTGCAGAGAGGACCCAGGCTCAGTTCCCAACACCCACAAGGCAACTTAGAATCATAACTCCAACCCCAGGGCATGTGCTACAGTCTTCTGGCCTCCATAGATACCAGGCACACACACATGAGCCACATACATGCATGCAGACAAAACATAGATAAATGTTAAAGAAAAAAAAATTAAAATGACTGGGTGTGGTGGCACATGCCTTAATACCAGCATTTGGGAAGCAAAACAGGCAGGTCTCTGTGAGTTCGAGGCCAGCCTGGTCTACATAGTGAGTTCCAGGCCAATCAGGGCTACATAGTGAGACACTGTATGAATAATTAATTAGTTAATTAAAAAACAAATCTTAAAACACACAGTGTCAGATCTTGTCACTCTCCCTAAGGTGCATAGAATTCAGAATACAGTCTGACTCTGTTTGTTTGGTTGTTGTTTTTTTTTTCCAGACAGGGTTTCTCTGTGTAGTTCTGGCTATCTTGGAACTCTGTAGACCAGGTTGGCCTCGAATTTACAGAGAGCCACCTGCTTGTCTCGAAGTGCTGGGATTAAAGGTGTACACCACCACCACCTTGCCTCCTTTTTTTCCCTACCACTGAGAGTCCAGGGTTTGATTCTGTCTCACCCTGTGGCCTTCTATGATCTGACCTCCTCCTTTCTGGTGCTAATTTGCACACTGGTCTGCTGTGATGTCCTCATCTTAGGGCCTGTTTACTGGCTAATGGCTTCCTGGAGAGGCAGCTTTTTCAGTAGCCTGCCTAGCTCCTTGCTAGGCTCCGCTCAACTGTATGAGTCACTTTGGTTGTAGTGTTTTGGTTCCTACAAGACAGCTCAATGGCCTGTCCTTTCCTGGCCCAGTGATGGGCTTTCCTCCCCAAACAAGCTCCCCTCTCTTTCTTACCTCTCTATTCTGGATCACCATCCACAGAAAGCTCTTCTGCCTGCATGGCAGGGTGCACGCTGCTCGATTGCTGTTGTTACATCACCTTCATTAGAGCTGTTTTTGCCTCTTCATTAAATTAAATTCCAGGAAGCAGTGCTAATGACCGAACTAACGAGTCACGGGAGAGGCTAGCAGCCCCAGCCTTTGGACAGCGTACAAAGGAGGACAGGGCAACAACCTGAGCAAAGCAGAGGCTCCTGGGATAAGGCTGATTATTACTATTTCCTAGGCCCTCCAAGGACCTGAGCTTCCCATGAGAGGGAGCCTTCTGAGGCTGTAATTTGGGCAGGCACAGTGAAAGACTAGGCCATGAGCACTAAGAGAAAGGAGGCTCGGCTGGGCAGTGATGCCACACGCCTTTAATCCCAGCACTTGGGAGGCAGAGGCAGGCAGACTTCTGAGTTCGAGGCTAGCCTGGTCTACAGAGTGAATTCCAGGACAGCCAGGGCTACACAGAGAAACCCTGTCTTGAAAACTGAGAGAGAGAGAAAGAGAGAGAGAGGGAGAGGGGGAGAGGGAGAGGGAGAGGGAGAGGGAGAGAGAGAGAGAGAGAGAGAGAGAGAGAGAGAGAGAGAGAGGATACTCAGCTCTTGGATGTAAACCCCTAAATGCCCTCTGGTTCTCTTGTAAGCTTCAGGACATTCCTCCTATTTATATCGGACTGCCACTGAATGCCTGGACACATGAGATTTACAAGGATAGATATCTGTGACACAGGTCCCTAGTTTGGAGATGCTAAGTGTTCTTCCTCCTCAGTGACATCTCTCACATTGATACCTTTTTTTGTTTTTTCCCTTCCCTTCTCCCTCGCTCCAGCCCAAAGGTTTGTTTGTTTATTTATTTATTTATTTATTTATTTATACTGTAGCTGTCTTTAGGCGCACCAGAAGAGGGCATCAGATCTCATTACAGATGGTTGTGAGCCACCATGTGGTTGTTGGGATTTGAACTCAGGACCTTCGGAAGAGCAGTCAGTGCTCTTAACCACTGAGCCATCTTACCAGCCCTCGCATTGATACCCTTACTCATATCTCAAGTCACTAGCCAGGCTCTCTTCTGGTCCAGGAACAGCCAGCTCAGCTCCCTCCTACCCTAATATCTATGTGTTTGCTACTGACTGGGCCTGTCCCTCTTCTCTGCTTGTCCCTGTCCATGATACACAGTTCCCTTCCTCCAGCTGGCATCTCTACCCATAACTCCCTGTAACTGCTGTGCTGCCCTGCAGGTCTCTGTTCACTTGTTCAGTATATGCTCCTGAAGGTGGGGTCTCCCTGCCTTTCCTTCCCTAGGGTTCTCAGCCCCGTTGTTGACACTCAGTAGGTTCCCAGTCCTTGAGCAGAGGAGCAGGTGAAACTTCCCCATATGTTGGGGGTGCAGGGTGGGAGGAAGGAGGGAGTGGAAACTTTTCTAATCCAGAAACTTCTGGGCAGAGTTCTAGGTCTTCAGTTCTCTAAGCTGAAGTTAGTTAATTATGTGAAGACATGATCAAGAAGGGGAAATTTAGGGTCTAGGCCCCCAGGCTAAGTCCTTCCTTTTGGGAGAAAAGTACCCTGGCAGGGACTGGGAAGACAGAGGAAGATAACTCACTCCAATCTCAGAACCACTGCTAGGCCAAGAAGCACAAAGGGGGAAGTTCAGGGGATAGACCAGGAGGTGGAGCTTGGTCAGGGTAGGGTGTGTGTGTGTGTGTGTGTGTGTGTGTGTGTGTGTGTGCACAGGCAGACAGGACAGGAGCTCTGGCCACTGAGATTCTCAAGCAGAAGTTGCCAAAGCCTTGTCTCCAAGGTAGTGATTTGATGGTCACAGGTCTTTGGCAACACCCTGCAACCTAATCACCATGGAGGTGGGGTACTCAGGATCTTGGACCCTAGACCTCCCTCAGAGTCCAGGGTAGCAGACACACCCAGTCTGAAACTGCCTTTGGGGAAGTGCTAGCAGCTTCCTCTTCCTGGCGCCTGTAGGCTTGAGTGTCACAGCCCACTGAAGGGGGTCTCTGTTCCTCACTTTGTCAGGACTGTGGCTTGACAGGAACTCAGGACAAGCTGGACACGCTCTGTGGCCTGTGGTGAGCCACAAGGCCGTTCTGGCTTCGGGGGTGAGACGGCAGTTCTCCTAAGCATGCTCCTCTGGGGGCTTCGAGCTTCTACTGCTGGACCTCGGCTCCCTTCTTTTATGACCAAGTCTAGGTGATACTGGGCTCACTGGGCCAGGAACAGTTCAGGTTTCCTCTGATGCTCAAGTCTATTACGCTCCCCTCTGCCCCCAGCATGACCTCCTCCAAGGCATTCCTGGATTCCTCTCATGGCCTCATGGTGAGTGGATAGAGAGAGGCAGGCTCATCCTGGTCCACAGTTGATCCAGTTATGAATAAGCGGTTTCTCCTCTTTTAACCCTTAATTTCCCCACTTTTCTGTCCTTTCTCCTTTACACGTGTGGTTCCTTCCTCTATTCTCCCTTTTCCCTCTAATGTTTTCAATTTGAATTGTTTTTAGATTTATTTATTTTAGTTCATGGGTATGAGTGGTTTGCCTGCGCCTGTGTGTGGGTAGCACGTATGTTCGGTGTCTGAGGATGTCAGAAGAAGATGTACGATCTCCTGGAACTGAAGTTAAGATGGTTGTGAGCCACCACATGGGTGCTGAGAACCAAACCCAACCCAGGTCCCCTGGAAAAGCAGCCCATGAGTTTTTGTTTGTTTGATTGATTTTGGGGGATTTTGTTTTGTTTTGTTTTGGGGGTTTTTTGTTGTTTTTTTTAGGAAGAGGGTTGAAACAGGGTTTTGCTATGTAACCCTGGCTGTCCTAGAACTCACTCTGCATAGACCTGGCATGCCTCAAACTCATAGAGTTCTGCCCGCCTCTGTCTCCAGAGTACTGGGATCAAAGGCCTATGCCACCACTGCCTGGTTCGCAGCCCATGCTCCTAACTGCTGAGCCACCTCTGCAGCTCACCAGGCCTTTTTCTGTAATGCACCCCCTCACTGCTCTCCTGTGAGCTTTCAGGATATCTCTTCCACCAAGACAGTTCCCAGGACTTCCCAGGCAAAGTTGGTTTTCTCTTTCTCTGCATGTGCTAGTATGGCATTTAAAAAAAAAAATTGTTGCGGGAGGATCTGAAGCAGGATGCACACTGTACAGCCCAGGCTGGTCTCAGATGCGTTATGAAGCTGAGGATGACCTTGAACTCCTGGTGCTCCAGCCTCTACCTCTGCCCTGCTGGGTTACCAGTATGGGCACCACAGCCAACCTAGAACAAAAATGTCTATAGCGCTGTCTACATTCATCTCTAAGACAGGGATGTCCTAAGTAGCATAGAGTAGATTTGGGGTAATTTCTTAACTTAATTTGACAAATATCTACCTACCGTCCATATCCAACCTGGAAACAGGAACCTTGGTTGGTAACACCTACCACCAGACTCACTCCAATAGGATAAAGCTGGAAAAGGGACAGTGAATACCAGAGAGACCTAGTCCCCAGCCAAGAGATTTAAGAAAATGGTTGGGAATGGTGGTGGTTAATGGGTTAGAGGATGAAGTGGTAGAGTAAGGCAGGATAGAGTGGTATTGTAGTGGCCCATTCCTATAATCCCAGGGATGGACCCCACCTTCTCCTGAGATACCATCTCAGTGTAACACACACACACATACACAGAGTAACTGAAAGCAGGAAGATTGCCACAAGCATAAGGTCAGCCTAAAGTAAACCTGATGATTTTTTTTTTTCGAGACAAGATTTCTCTGTGTAGCCCTGGCTGTCCAGAACTCACTCTGTAGACCAGACTGGCCTCGCGCTCAGAAATCCGCCTGCCTCTGCCTCCCAAGTGCTGGGATTAAAGGCGTGCACCACCACCACCCGGCTAAACCCAAGGTTCTTTTTTTTTTTGTAAGCCTGATTTATTATTATTATTATTATTAAGTTATTTCTCTGCTGGTGAAATGAGCCAAGTCAAGCTGAATTAGTGTCTATGAAGGCAGTTTATTGAAAACCCACTCTCGGATTCACTGGTCCCAAGTGGCCATGGGGAGGGAGACAGAGGGGAGGAAAGAGAAAAAATGCAGGGGAGAGAGAAGAGACTGAAATGTTTAGATTATATAGAAAAAAGCTTTCCCTGGGCTGGAAAGTTCAGAGCAGAGGGTGGGGTAAGGACTGAGGAATGCTGGGAGAACCTGGAGGCCAGGACCACCATGGTAGGTAAAATATGCACCTCAGCTGTTTGTACAGGGTCTAAATCCCAACAATGTATTATCACTATTATTATTATTATTATTATTATTATTATTATTATTATTTTGAGACAGGATTTCTCTATGTAACAGTCTAAATCCCAATTATTATTATTATTTATTATTATTATTTTGAGACAGGGTTTCTCTGTATAACATCCCTGGCTGTCCTGGAGCTTACTATGTAGACCAGGCTGGCCTAAAACTCAGAGACCTTTTGCCCTGCTTCCTCAGTGCTGGGACTGAAGACATGTATCACCACACCCAGGTTGGCCTGATTGACATGGAATTTGAAGTTGTCCTTTGAGTGGGGACAACCTCTATAGAGTCTTATAAAAATCACTATTTTAAGCCGGGCAGTGGTGGCGCACGCCTTTAATCCCAGCACTTGGGAGGCAGAGGCAGGTGGATTTCTGAGTTCGAGGCCAGCCTGGTCTACAGAGTGAGTTCCAGGACAGCCAAGGCTGCACAGAAAAACTCTGTCTCGAAAAACCAAAAAAAACAAAAAAAAACAACAAAAAAAAAATCACTACTTTAACAATTTGCTCACATTGAAGTATTGTGTGCCACACACACATACAAACACAGGCGCACACGCACACATACTAACACAGGCGCGCACACACACACATACACTCCCATCCTGAACATTTCACCTATTGTTTTCCTTGGTCCTGTGAATTAGGTAGAGACCCATTTGCATGTAAGGAAGCCAGGATGTAGAAACCATCAGACACTTGTCCAAAGTAAGACATAGTCAGCAAGCATCCCAGAGTCCTTTCAGGCAATAATTGCTCTACCTCTAGCAAAGTGTGTTTGTTTGTTTGTTTGTTTGTTTGAGACAGAGTCTCTCTATGTATCCCTGGCTGACCTGGAACTCTTTTTTCTTTGTAGATCAGGCTGGCCTTGAACGCACAGAGACCCATCTGCCTCTGCCTCCTGAGTGCTAAGATTGAAGGCATCCACCACTACTCCTCCGACTTCTAGTGATGTTAAACCAGTGTTTTGCAAGCTTTTATTCTCAGGGAGCCAGAAGAGGTTTGTAAAACGGAAGGGACATGCTTTCCTTCAGTCATCCTAACAGTGGTGGCTGTGAAGGGCTGACTCTGGCTAATGGGAGGGACCATGAAGTGATTGCCCAGGAACCAGTACCAGTAGGGCAGGATATACTCAGTTCTGGGCACCATGGGTTTGAGGGAGTCTGAGGTATCTGGAAGAAGCTAAACCTAAGGCTGACAGTCAGGAGGAAATCAGATGAGATAGCCATGCAAATAGTTCTGAATTAATGGGAACAGAGGGTAGCGACTGGAGTGGCAGAGCCTGGCCATAGCCCTGGGGACTCACATGGAAACAAGGAAAGAGACACTGAGGCATTAGAAGTGGGAGTTACCATGCTCCCTAGGAAGAATATGGGACTGGGAAGGAAGGGCTGGCTGTTGGGAAGGGTGCAAGAGCTACAGGCCTGGGGAAGGTAATGTCTTCTTGCTCTTCCTCCATAGACTGGGGTCTGTATGCTGCCCACTTCCCTAGAGTGGGGCCTCCAAGGGGCTGACAGGTTCTCTTGTTGCCTGGCAACTGAGAGAGCTGTTGGCTGTTGCTAGGAGCAAACTAGGGAGGCCAGAGGAGCAAAGCTCTGAAGCACAGGGCGGGGCAGAGGGGGAAGGGGCTGGCTGGAAGAGGGATTTGTCTGTCGTCTGTGTGTAGACAGTGCTCGGCTGTGTGTCCTCATACTCATGGTGTGTTCTGTGAATCCGTCATGTTGGAGGTAAGTCCTACAGGTGGATAGATTAGAACACATCGACTGTCCATGGGTAGCAATATATGTTCTTATCCTAGTTATTGCGCACCTAGAGCAGGGCCTGCTTAGGCGTCAGGCAGGTCCCCTGAGGGAACCACTGGATGATTGCAAGCTAATGACTCCTCAACAGGGAAAACATTCTGATGGTTGAGACACACAGACACTCCAGAGTGAGCAAGCAAGTTAAAGGGTAGAACCTGGAACACACTCTTCATCCAGGTAGTGCTGTACTAACAGGAGGCTGTGACCAACTCTTCATGGCAATGTCCCTCTCTGGCTTTAGTCTGGGGCCACTCAGAACACCTTACTCGCTTCAATCATCCAATCAAAGTTGGGGGGGGGGTCATAGGCCCCTCTTAAAAAAGCAGATCACAAAGATTTGAAATATCTCTATTTCTGCCTTTGCCCAGCCACAGGATCACAGCCACTACCCAGAAAAGACATGGGACTGAAGAAGCCTCTAGAAGCGGACAGAGGATGGAAGGAACAGATTATAAGATCATGGCAACGTTTGTGTCCTTAAGTCCAATAGCAACTCTCTCTTGTCTGTTTCTCCCCCTAGAGTCTGGTTTCACTGGTCTCTGGTTGAAGTCCCGACTGCTGTCTGCAGGAGAATGTTTCTCAACCTACCAGGCAAAAGAACTAAGTTTAGATGACAGAAGATAGTCCACGCAAAGGTGTAAAAGCGGCAGTAAACTCTTTGTTTTTGATGTGGTGCAACCTGGGGGTGGGGGGTGGGGGGAGCTGCCTTAAAGAAAATCGAGGTCCAGAAAGACATCATGTGCCCACCTCAGAGTTTAGTAGATCTCCAAATAAGTTTATAGGTTCACTTTTAGCAAGTGAAGAAGACACACCTCCTCCACCTTACTCTCATAATTCACAAATGCTCCTGGTTTCTATTTGGCCTGTGGCGAGGGCTGGTAGTTCTGACCCTTGGGCTACTAGATCAACTGGTCCTACAGTCCAGAAACAGAGCCCCAGGCTCCCAGCATCCAATCAGAGAGAGCTCCTCCTGCAGCCCGCCCAGAGGCCTAAGCCTGTGTTAGTACTAAGCTTGGTGTCTTCTCTCGTTGCGGCCCCGCTCTCAGCTTGCGCCCAAGCCTGGACTGAGCCTAACTTCTCCCTTGGCTCCGCCCTCCAACCAATCACCATCCCCAATTTTCCTTTGGCCCCGCCTCCAGACCCGCCCCGGCCCAGTCGCGGGCTTGGTTCGCCCGGGCCCCACCCCTGGCCCGCCCCGCCGTCGGTGCGCGGCGGCCGGGAAGGCGCCTCCCGCAGTCGCTCGGAACTGCGGACCTGAGAGCTTCCCGCAGAGGGCAGGCGGTGGGAGCGGAGTGGGTCGGGCGGGGCCGAGCCGGGCCGTGGGCCGTGTGGGGGCCAGGCCGGGCCGGCGGACGGCAGGATGGGCTGCACCGTGAGCGCCGAGGACAAGGCGGCAGCCGAGCGCTCTAAGATGATCGACAAGAACCTGCGGGAGGACGGCGAGAAGGCGGCGCGGGAGGTGAAGTTGCTTCTGTTAGGTGAGGCAGCGCCCCGTTATGGGACCCTTGACTCTCAACCCTAACCCCCCAGGCAAGGACCTGAAACTACCCAGCCTGGCCTTGGACCCTACACCTGCGCTTGAAACCCCTAGGGCCCACCCTTTTAAGATTCGAAACTCTGGATTGGTCTAGATTTATAATCCTAGTCCAGACTTTAGTTCAGACCCCCAACTCATCTCAGATCCCACAAACCAAACCTTGCAAGACTGTCTCCCCTTACTATCCAGTCTCAAGAGAACTCAGCCACTACCTTATATTTTCAGACTTTCTTAGGCTTTACTTAAACCCTCAGCACCCTCCTGGTTCCCACCTTCAAGCCCCACCTGTTCTATTTCTGTTGGCTTGAGCGTTCCTTGGGACCCTTGTCAAACCTCAACCCACTCCCTCTTTTCCTTATGTTGGAATCTGTATTCTCCCTCTGTGCACTCTGACCCCTTAAGAACCTCTTGAAGAGGGAAACTGACTACTCTCGAGTTCTCTGTAGCAGGATTCCCCGCAGGGCCTCTGTTCCAGGTCACCAGATCTCTCTCCCTCCCATCCCCCCTTCTCTCTCTCCCTCTCTCTCTTTCTCTCTGCAGGTATCAACCCCTAAATCATCTGCCCCCCTTTTAAGTCTTTTCTCACTCTGGCAGTCCCTCGATTCTGCACCCTCCTGCTCCAGGTGGGCCTTGACAGGAGGAGGCGAACCCGGGGCTGGAGTGGGCCTAGGCTGAGTTGGGGAGACCCTCTCCAAGAGGTTGGACTGAAGCTTTAATAGTCACACTGGGGAACAGGGGCCAGGCCTCAAGCATCTGTGGGAAGTTCCATTCTCTGGGAATGTGTTCCCTAGGTTCCAAGGCTTGTCTGGGCCAGGGCCAGGGGAGTCTGGGCAATAGAATGGAACATGGAGGAGTTAGGGTTGTTGCCACTTCCAAGGCCAAGGAAGATGGTGGCTGCTGGGATTGGGGGGGAAGTGGAAGTAGTGAGCCAACCGACATATTGCTGCCCTTGTGTGCCTGTAAAGCTCTGTTGATGGGTGCTGGGGTTCTCATATTCAGGGCTGAAACGCCTGGGATATGGCCTAGGATACGGAGTGAACCTGTTGGTTCCCCAAAGGAATACTGTGATGGGGGTTGGTGGGCTAGCTGAATGAAGGGCTGGAAGGAGTCAGCTGCCTGCAGCCCCGTGTGCTCTCAAGCATCCCAGCTAGGCTTTGGCAAAGGCAGTGGGCCTGATGCTTGTGTCCAGACTCCCACTGGTAGTCAGAGTGGTTCCCTGTGGAAGCCTGACTTGAGAAGATCGGGTCCTCTGGATTGTGGGGAGCAAGGCCCTAGCAGTAGCAGAAGCCGCGCAGCAGCGTAATCCGCTGGATAGTATGTGTGGGGGGGTGTGGCCCCTCAGCCCCAGGGCCGCCTTGGGGCCTGCATGCTGTGGAAAGCCTGGCTTTTTCTTTGCCAGGCCTGTGGCCGAGAAACAACATGTATGTCTTTATGGATCCATCTGTTGACTGTCCTGGCGGACCCGGCCTGGGGGCACAGCCCCGGAGGTTTCAAAATGGCATCCGCTCCACTGCTGCCGCGGGGAGGAAGAGAAGGGGCGGGAAGGGGCGGCGGCCCAGCCTCCTGGGCTGCTTTGCGTTGGGCGCTTGCCTCTTCCTGTCTCTGCTGCGAGTGCGGCAAGCAGTGAGTGGGTGTCTACGCGGCGGCGGCGGAATGTCCGTTGCTGCTGGGCCTAGGGAGGGCACTTCCGGGACCGCTACCTCCCAGTGCCCAGCCTGAAGCCCCTTACCGGCCCCTCCCAAGTTTATTGCAGTCATTGTGGTGGCCAAGGAGATGTGGATCTGGACCAGAGAGCCGGGGGAAGGGGGTAGCACAGGACTCCTGGCCTGTTCTGTTACACAGGGTTTCCTCTAAGCTGACAGGCTAGTCCCTTAGAGCTCAGCTTGGCTTTTGGGCCAAGCTAGGTGGGACCTGGTATCCCTTCCTACACTAGGCTGGCAGTAGCCAGTGATAGAGGATCTGGCTTAGTACTTTCTCATGGAATAGTCTATCCTAGGATCCTGTCCCTCTGGCCTTTCCTTCCTCTAAAATGGAATTCCTGGCTTGTGTCACAGGAGTACCCAGGGTAAGACTAAGGCCCTGCAAAGGGTGTGCAGCCAAGGGCTCACAGCTCTACCTGAAATGGACAACCCAGTTTGCATGACCAGTCTGTCATTGCTACCAGGGAAGGAGTCTTGACTTGAGCTAATCAACTCCCCATGAAGGAATAAGATGACAGTGGGACCCCAGCTGTAGCAGGTTAGGAATTCTGGGCACCAGTTCTGTTTAGTCGGAGACTCTGTCCAGGCAACGGGGACTTAAGCTGGGAAAGTGCCAATCTTCCCTCCCAGCCAGAACCACGCCTGCTACCCCACCCGCACACAGTCTCCCTCCATACCCTGTATCCCTGCCAGAAGGCGGGCTCAGTCACTGTCACCAGGGCAGAGGCAGATGTGGTACACACTAGCAAGATAGTTTCCCCTGGCAGCTTGGTCAGGCAAGTAGAGAAGCTGCTACCAGTCTCACTGCAGGGCAACCCCCTAGACACCTCCCCCCGGCCCCCAGTTCAACCAGACTGAGTAGCTAGGCCCAGATAGATTTTGGGGGCTCTGGTGACAACCTGAACTGGACACACGAGGAGAAACAGTGTCCACTGTGGGCTCTACAAAGCCTCAGAGTAGAGCTGTGCCTATCTGGCAGCAGGACTTTGTATCTTCTCTCCTTAATTGTTCTGTAACATTCCACTCATGGCTGTCCTCCTAGAATCCTTCCTGAGGTCCCACCATGGCTGATGTGGTCTCTCTGCTCCCTGGGTTCCTGCTTTCCTGCTAGAACATGGTTTTGGCCCTTGAGACAACAAGGCAGAGGGGTGTCCTTTTCATTTGGGTGCTGAATGAAGGATGTACTTGGTGAACTTGGGTTGGGGGATAAGTAGGTAGAGGTCACCGAGTCACAGTTTGGCACACTGTGTGAGCAGGTGACAAGTGCTCACTGGAAGACCAATGACCAAGATTGAGGGGATGCTGAAAGAAAAGCTCTTAGATTCTTCTTGGCCCGTCACAGGCCGTCCAGGTGACTCAGGGCAGTCTTCACCCTGTCCACTGCAAAGCCCCTGCTGCCCATCCTGCAGCCTGTGCCAGGGCGCAGCACACAGTAGGGACTATATGAGAGAGTGGCTCTACAGACTCAGTTCACCTCTGCTTGAGGACAGCTGCAGAGCTCCAGCCAGTGACCGTTTCAGCAGCTGAGAGCTCTCGGGCTCAACCTGGAGCAGTGCTGCAGGAGCTCCAGGCTTGTTAGTCAAAGCCAGGGCTTTGTAGATTGACAAAAGGAAGGGAGTTTGTAGCCTGCGTCCTAGCTGACTAGCACAAGGCAGGCGTGCAGTATCCGGTGCATGAGAAATATGTGTGTAGAGCGTGAAGCTCCTGAGCACATGGAGCAGGCCGCGTCCTTTCAGGGTGGGAGAGAATATAACAGGAATGAGACAACAAAAGGGTAATCCTGGGGCTGCCAACTGAGACACAGATGGGGGGGCTAGCCTGGGAAACTGGCCTGCTAGGCACTAGGGGCAGAGACCTTGTTCCCTAAGGGCACTGAGACAGGAGATGTGGCCAAGATTCCCAAGCTTCTGGTGGATGTTTCCCGGCATGAGTTCAGCTTGAGGCTCACCCTGGTTGGACCACCCTGAGGGTCATGTAGATATAAGTTAGAATCCTGGGGTTGGAGAGGTGGCTCAGCAGTAAGAGGACTGGCTGCTCTTCCAGAGGACCCAAGTTCAATTCCCAGCATCCACAAGGCAGCTCATACCTGTGTGTAACTCCAGTTTGAGGGGTCTGACATCCTCACACAGCCAAGACATGTAGGCAAAACACCAGTGCACTTTAAAAAAAAAAAAAAAAGTTAAGATCCTGGTCCCATCCTGTGCCTCATTTAGTAATCTGCTTCAGGTGAAACCCTTCAGGAGGTAGCTGACTGTCACATACAATTCAGGGGACTGTGGCCACGCATAGTACACCACAGCCTGGAAGGGACAAACAAATAAAAAGCAGACAAGGGACCCTCTGCTATCTCAGAAAGAGCTGGGTACATACAATATGGGGACCCTCCTGGGAAACTCCTTTCCCTG